AGGACATGGATTGAGCTTCAATCATTGAGGTGATTGACCGTTACCGAAAATACGATTAATGGATGTCAATCGAGTCAACAAAAGATGCTTCCGCATCAGTTGCGAATCTGGGAGCGATTTCGAGATTACTCTTTCTGTTGCTCATCGCTGCGGAAAGTTATCCTGACAGTTTTCCGAGTCCCCTAGGCCATCTTCGCTGTTGTCGTCACAAGCGAAACCATTACCAAGGATCAACCTGAACGAATTCAACTCTTTGGCGGGGGGAATAGAAGATGATGGAATCGCATCGAGCGGTGCGAAGAATTTGAAATTAAACAAATCGTGGAAATTGGCTGGTTATTCGTGTACACATAGAACTCTACGCTAACGGGTGGCCTGTCAAGTATGGTTGAAACTGAAATTCTGTGACCAGAGGTTGGTCTTGAAATGTTCGAATTCACGTGTTGCTGCGTGAATATGGCACGCGCTAAAATATCTTAAGAGCAGCTATTAGCTGCCAGCTAAGCTGCTGGAGCTTCACAGGAGAAGGAAGGTTAACTCGATGAATTGGGTTCCAAGGTCTTTGCCGATGAGTCATACTGTATGACTCATACAGCGAATCACTAGCGCTCTGTGATATCTTCGAACTCACGCTCTGAGGTGAGGAATTTTATATTTGATACGTTTGGTCGCACACGCTCTACTTACCGGGACAATAAAGCCCGTGTTGATGTGCTGTAAATGGCCCGAGTTCAATATATGGCTCGATCGTTATGAGTTACACTATGATTGAGCATGATGTCCAACTGTCTGAGAAACTCCCCACGGAAACTTTCGCGAAATACTTCCGCGAGAGTTTCAAAAATTTCCCGGGAGTAAAATTTTCCAGGAAACGTTTGCTGAGTGTTCATTTTCGATGTTAGAGACATTCCATTCATCTCATACAGCCTCACGATGATTTGAATGAAGGAGTGCTTAGCTATTCTTGCCCAGTATGCCTCGAACAAAGGAAATATCTCGCTTCATGTTAAAAACTGGGCGGAGAAGTACTGGGCGGAGAATCCCGGGGGGGGACCGAGCCCTGGGAACAACACATCATCGCACTCACAACACGGCGGGGACCAACGTTGCGGTGCCAGTACCCAGGTCACGACCTCGTTGCTCCCCCAACGTGCTGCACAGAGATGTGCATTCGCACGAGGACACCTTGGGTCGCCGCGAACATACATTGTATCTCAATTTAGCCAGACCTCTCAAAGAATAATTATTCTTCGGTGTGAAATTTACACTAGATTCTTCAGCGTGACTACCTTAGGTGGGCGGTCTATCACGGACCTAGGCCAGGCGAGATAGTCAGGGACTCTGATCCAACATGGAATGGCAATGACATTGCCATTGTCAGCTGATGATTGGCTCGAATGAGCCGCTCGATGTATAATCTATGCTAAGCCATCCCAAGTTCTTCAATGTAGAATCTTTCTAATGAACGTTTGAATGGAAGCTCCCACTTCAAGGCCTTTCCAGAGGAAGTCTACTGATTTCAAATGAAGTAGTCCTCCAAATCTAAACTAGGGATGGAATACGATGATCTACAGTCCCGTCATGTGCAACGCGGCGCTACTGGCGTCATGATGCAGCATAAAGGAGGAATCGAACGACTTACTGTTGACGGTCGCTGGTATATGAGTTCACTCGCATATATGACCAACACGATCCGCGGCAAAATTCGTAGTAGTTGATTCAGCAAACAGGAAGTTCTCAAATGCAATAAAATGCAAATGCAAATGCTCAACACCAACTTCATGACAACCGTCACAGGTGAAAATCGAATATCCGATTCGTCAGACTAGCATACCTTCTAATCTCATAAAATACGTAACCATATGTCTAATACATTTTCTCGACAACTGTGACTGTTGATAAGCAACAAGAACGATAAGCGCACCTCATGTGCTCAAGAGCCGAGACCACCATACTGAAGAAAGAATAGTGAATCACTATTAGTGGTAGTTATAGTCCTTGACTATCCGGAACGACGGGGAAATTTGAATGGGATTTGAATATGAAAGAGGAGGGTGTCTTTCTGGTAGGAGATCTGTAAATCATCTGTGAGCAAATTGAAACCCAGAGAGGCATAGGCTATGTAGTGCAATGCTTCATCCTCCGGAACGTAAATATTCTTGACAATAACCTCTATGCTCGAGTTCAGTGGACCGCTGGTGTTGGCCGCCTGGATGTCCACCGAAAGCTCATGCCTACGTAAATGGTAGATGTTCAGGAGATCAGAAACGGAAATGTTAGTCATAAACGGACCTAGTTTGTATCTTGCACGCTCAACCTAAGGATACTTCTTAATCGATTTGCTCGAACAAGCCTCGAACTTCCTCAGCAGAAAGGAGTTCTCTTTTCGAGACTCTTCTTAATGCCGCCTTCTTCTTAGGCGTCGACGACTCGCGTCTTTCAATAGACGCAAGCGGACTGCCAGTGAAAAGTTGGTACATCACGACAGCGCAAGCAAGAAAATCATCTTCACAACGTTCAGAAAACACAGCGTCGGAACATTCTCCGACAAAGCAATCATCATCATTATCATGCTGATCGCGCTGTAAAACCTGACGCCTCAAACCGGCGTGGTGGGTGCAAGCGCAAACAACTGCGCTCCCGAAATCAACTAAATGCACGTCACCAGAGTCGTTGAGAAGAATGTTCTCCAACTTGATATCATTATGGGAAATACCCCAACCATGAAGAGAATCTAAAATCGTCAATAATTGCATGATGACAGACAGAATAGTGGCATCTTCCCGAACTGTAGATCGTCGTCGGAGCCACTCGTAAAGATCTAAACCACCAAGTTCGGATACGATATAGGTCGCATCACAGTCCTCAAAAACGTCGAGGATCTTGGGCACACCATCAATGTCAAGATTCGCAATAAGTTCCATAGTTTCCGCCTCTTCTGGGCCGTGCCCTGCCATATCCGAGATACAAGGGGGATCGTCTCATACGGGGCTTCTCGATAATCTTCAACGCGACGGGTCTTCCAGTTTGTCGACATATTGAGCGACAAACCTGCCCGTACGCTCCTGCCGCTATGGTAGACCGAGCTGGTAGAAGTATCGAAGCCGTGAGGCGGCATCACTGACTACTCTCATAGTGATGTGGAGGAGTAGTGCACATGTACTGCATGGGGAAGACTCTTCA